AAAAAAAAAAAAAACAAAAAAAAAAAAAAAAAAAAAAAAACAACAAAACAATTCTCTTAACCCCCCCCCCCCCAAAACCCCAAAGAAAACAATAAAAGTGAAAAATTCCCCCCCCCCCCCAACCACCACGTTATATAAAATGTGCACGGTCCTTTAAGAACAATATTTGGAGAAAATAATTTCACCGCCCTATATCTATACGTACATGTTACCCCAGTGTGTGCAATGGTGGAAGAAATGGCGGCTACATTAGAAAACTGTGTGCTATGGTGGAAGAAATGGCGGCCACATTAGAGAACTGTGTGCTATGGAGGAAGAAATGGCGGCCACATTAGAGAACTGTGTGCTATGGCGGATGAAATGGCGGCCACTTTAGAAAAGTATGTGTTTGTCTAATTTGATCCCCGTATGACATTTACTGTCTTTTCTGATCCCTGTTGAGATTTAATGTCCACAAGTACTTTATGGAGGCGAGAATCTCTTAGTTCCTATCTTCACCTTAATCCTCACCCTCATTAATTTACTTACGCTGTGCCACGGGTCTCGTGATAAGATGCGGGTCTCAAGAGTACATGTTGGACCCTGGTGATAAGATGCGGGTCTCAAGAGAACATGTTGGACCCTGGTGATAAGATGCGGGTCTTAAGAGAACATGTTGGACCCTGGTGATAAGATGCGGGTCTCAAGAGTACATGTTGGACCCACTTGATAAGATGCGAGTCTCAAGAGTACATGTTGGACCCACGTGATAAGATGTGAATCTCAAGGGTACATGTTGGACACTGGTGATGAGATGAGTCTCAAGATTACATGTTGGAACACGTGATAAGATACGGGTCTTAAAAGTACATGTTGGACCCACGTGATAAGATGCGAGTCTCAAGATTACATGTTGGAACATGTGATAAGATACGGGTCTTAAAAGTACATGTTGGACCCACTTGATAAGATACGGATCTCAAGAGTACATGTTGAATCCTGGTGATAAGATGCAGGTCTCAAGAGTACATGTTGTACCCACGTGATAAGATGCGGGTCTCAAGAGTACATGTTGGACCCACGTGATAAGATGCGGGTCTCAAGAGTACATGTTGGACCCACGAGATAAGATGCCGGTCTTAAAAGTACATGTTGGACCCAAATGATAAGATGCGAGTCTTAAAAGTACGTGTTGGAACCAAGTGATAAGATGCGAGTCTCAAGAGTACATGTTGGACCCACGTGATAAGATGCGAGTCTTAAGGGTACATGTTGGACCCACGTGATAAGATGCGGATCTCAAGAGTACATGTTGGACCCTGGTGATAAGATGCGGGTCTCAAGAGTACATGTTGGACCCTGGTGATAAGATGCGGGTCTCAAGAGTACATGTGGGACCCTGGTGATAAGATGCGAGTCTTAAGAGTACATGTTGGACACTGGTTATTAGATGCGAGTCTCAAAAGTACATGTTGGACCCACGTGATAAGATGCGGGTCTCAAGAGTACATGTGGGACTCACGTGATAAGATGCGGGTCTCAAGAGTAACTATTGGACCCTGGTGATAAGATGCGGGTCTCAAGAGTACATATTGGACCCAGCCGTCAGTGTTACAACATTTAGTACAACTCTGATGTCAGTGACAAACCACTGTGAGGAATAAAACAACAGTGAATTTCTGGGGTGTAGTGGAAATGGCGGGGTGTTGGTAGTGGCAGTGACGACACTAGGGATAAGATGCGAGTCTTAAAAGTACATTGTTGGACCCACGTGATAAGATGCGGGTCTCAAGAGTACATGTTCGACCCTAGTGATAAGATGCGAGTCTCAAGAGTACATGTTGGATCCTCGTGATAAGATGCGGTTTCGTGAGTTCAACGTGGCAAGGTTTAGAATGTTAACTTTGATGAATTGATTAGCACATTTGCATGTTGAAGACAAGACAAATTAAGTTTTTACTTTAAATGTGAAGATTAATTTTTCACTTTTATTTAAAACGTTGTTACCTTTAATTCTGTTTTCTTCTTACAGGTTTCTTAAGGACTAACTTTAAAATAAAAAAAAATTCTAATCCATTATGTATGGTCTGTTTAAGAATTTTACCGTTCGGTTCCTGATGGAGGAGACGGTCGGGGATGACAAAAAAAAAAAAGGGGGGGGGGCTGGTAAAACCACGAAACCGCACCGGGCGAAACTGACCCTATAAGTGATGCCTCTGGGTTGGGGGGGGGGTTGATGATAAGCGAATTTTAGCTTTATGAATGGAGTTGATAAAAAAGTTCAATTCTCCTAAAATTTTCGTTCAACACAATGGTCGGCAAATCGCGGTTCACTAGCCGCATGCGGCTCCTTAGCGACCTAGGTGCGCCTCGGCTAGTCGGCCACAAATTGGCTTTGACTCCGAAAGACATGGTTCTTGTCAGGTTCTTGAGAAGAAATTTTCCGCTCAAATTTTTTTTTAATTCGTTCATTCATATTTTTTTGTTAGTTTATAATGAGCCTCTTGTTATTATATTAGTTATAAAAATTGTAGAGCATTTGATGCAGGAAATCTAAGAAAAACTTAATTATGCTTACGGCGTAATAATTGGCTTGCTCTGAATAAATCTTAATAAATAGGTTGGCGGACAGCCTCCTTAAATCCGTCCACCCCCTTCCCACCACCAAAGTCAAGGGGATTAAAAGGGAAACCATTATCTTTACATCTTTCATAAATATTTAAACTGTTTTAGAAATTCCCTTTCGTATCTACAATTTTAATGACCATTGATAAAAATTGAATCTTTTATTTCCTTCTGAAAATTTCACTCCCGGCCCTGTTATCGCGGGGTTTGGGAACCGTTCTTAGTGTGCGAGCAATGACTGCCAAAACTTGTATACATCATTTTCTAACACACAAAACAAAATTTTTGTGCAGCAATTTCAAGTAAACAAGTACGAGCAGAAACTTAGTGTTGTATTTTTTTATTTTATTTTTTTTTTGTTTCTTACTATTCGTTAAAGACAATTTAATCAAAAGAACAGTATATAAACTATTTTAATTAACTTATGGGCGCATTAGACTTTACGTGTGGTAAAGAAATAAAACATAATCACACCATCTTTTCCTTGTGTCTTATTTTCTCTAATTTTTCAACAATAAATTTAGAAAATTTAAAATGACAGTGAGCATGCAGTTGCAAATAAAATTATAATTGAGATTCAAAACTTTGCGACCAAGATGGATAAGTCTATTTTTGGATTTTTTAATGATTTCCCAAAACCTGGTCCCATCCTTCCTCAAATGCTATTGCTACAAAAATTACCAAGAAAATAAATATTTTTTGATAAGAATCTCTCGTAAAAAAACACCAAAAAAATCAACACCCCCCCCCCAAAAAAAAAAAAAAAAAAAAAAAAAAAAAAAAAAAAAAAAAAAAAAAAAAAAAAAAAAAAAAAATAAAAAAAAAATACAAAAAAAAAAAAAAATAAAAAAAAAATAAAAAATAAAAAAAAAAAAAAAAAAAAATTTTTTAAAAAAAAAATAACAAAAAAAAAAACAAAAAAAACCAACACCCCACCCCAAAAAAAAAAAAAAAAAAAAAAAGAAAAGAACAACAACAAAAGAACACAAACAAAAAACAACTACTTACGTCATATTTCGAAGCAAGAATAATATAAAAAAAGAGTTTAAAGTCGAAACAATGTGTTGTTGTAGAAATATGCAGGTGATTTTTATCATTTGACAAAAAAGTAAAAAAAAAATACTTGCCACACTTTTTAAATGATGAGTCCCATTGGTGTGCAATGAAAGCGGACACAATTATTTTAACGATTCAATAAACATTTAAAAAAATTCTAAAACTCTAACTATTGATAGGTTAAACATTTTAATAGACAATATCATTACAACAATGCTTAATATTGTAACGTAAAGAAGTGAACAAAGAATCAACAACATTGACACAAAATGTTTGAGAAAAGTATGAAACATATAATTTAATATAACCATTATTTAGACCATAAATAAAAATAGTATTCTTAAAAATGAATGAACATATCATTATGTAAGACTATGATAACATAAAATAGCACAAATGCACAAGCATGATCTATTTTTATAAAGATACATATATATCTATATATTTATATATATAAATATATCGATCGTATAAATATATATATATATATATATATATATATATGTATATATATATATATGTATATATATATATACATAATGTATGTATATATATATATACATAAATAAATTATTGTACATTATATATATATAATTAAATAATAAACGTACCGTAAAATACGTTTGAAAATAGATTTCAAAAAAACTTTTCAGAATTCGACTAAAGAACAAAAAAATAAATAAAAACAAATTATCGTATTATTCAAAACATGCTTTTTTTTTTATTCCGTCCATTTTGACCTGCTCAAGAAACTTTTCTGTTGTAAACATAATAATGAAGCAATATGAAATATATCACAATCTTCTCATTTTAGTTGCGTACAAAGTCTAGACTCTCGAGAACATACATAAAAATCACAGGTCATTTCGATGACGAGAAAACTTCACAAAAATCTAATCTGGAGCGGTTGAATTAATGAGACTGTTCAAGTGATACGATCCTGTTCAATGAATGGAACTGTTTAAGTTATGTAACTGTCATATTCTTGATAATGGTTAAATAATTAAAGAGCCATAGATCCATGTACTCACACGGGTAAGTGACTTGCAGGATGAACACACCCTTTAGGCTGCTGAAATGCCCACGCCACATTTCGTGACAACTCTGGCATCAGGTCTAACGGTTTTTATTCTCTTCCATGCGTAATCGTACCTCTTAACCGCGCTGGCTAGTGAAAATTTCTGTTTTTGTCCCACCAAGGTGTACCTTACGTAAACTTTACACCCATTTTTTAATACACGGTCAACTTGGGAAGTTGCCACGGACAGAAGACGGGTTTCCCATTGTGCAGTACCGAAACAATGACTGGAAAATCTGCTGTAGACCGTGTGCTTCTTTCCTTTTGCGCCTGACTGAACTGAAACCTCAAACAAAGCAAGACGATTGCCCCATGACCTGGGCTCTGGCAAGGTTCTTAACCTCCAGCCTGGCTTACCAGCTCGAGCCTTCCACTGAGCTTTGTTAGCCTCAGGGACATCGCTCTCAGGTACACAAGCCAGGAACCAATTCTCCCAATTTAATGAGCGAAGTGAAAAGTTGATCTCTGGGACGTTTTCACGTTTTAGGAGAGGCAGATTCTTCAGCTTGTATTTATCGAGGCATAATCTTGAGGAGTTTTGTCCTTTTATTAAGAGTCTTGAATTTGATTTAGGCTTTTTGGCTATGGGCATACTCGGAACTTTGGCCCATTTTTTAGCAGTTGAATTTTTTTTTGGAGATTTTCGCTTAGTTGCTGCTAGATGAGTCGTTGTCAACGTTCGTGCTGTGGAATCTGTGTGCGCCACCAGGAGAGGCAACGGGCCAGCAACCGACGAGGAATCTACTGCTTCTTCGTCTCTCAGGGAGGCAAAGATTGCATCTATGTCAAGAGCTAGACCAGTGGGCCCACACCTGGCTCTGACTTCATTTTCGTAATTCGCCAACTTCGTCATGTCGTTACTCTCCCTGTAACAGATCGCCATCATCATATCAAATAAACTTCCAAAATCGTTCAAACGCAGGTGTTTGCCTTTAGTGGCCATTGATATTGTTTTGTAGAAGCGATCTGCTTGAGCATAGTTTCCACACTGGACCCCGTATATTGTAACGCCCTCGCTGCCAAGAGACCTCGTCTCCTCCTTCCAGTTGATCTTGTCTTTGTTACACGCCTCATGGGGCTCGTGGGGGTTGTTGTCCCCAATCAAAACGAGGACACGGCGTGATCCAGGAGTCCAGGACATTTCTGTCCTGACTTGTTTTAAAACGAGCTCATAGCATTCTGGGGCATCTCCTCCACCGGTTTTCTCCACTTTCTGCACAAAGTCACAAAGCTTGGCAACATCTGTTGTTAAATCAATCCATTTGGTGACGTAAATGTGAGAATCACAATAGTCCCCGTGGGCGAAGACAGCTATTCTGATGCCAGGAATGTCAGCCTGTAGACGTTGTATCAGGTCTTGAATGCGACCACGAACTTCGTCTAACCAACTAGCCATTGAGCCCGTTGTGTCGAATGAAAACACAATTTCTAGCAGGCCGCCGGGAGGAAACACAACGTTACGGTTCGTCATTGTTGATTTATTATCGTTTAATATTTTTAATTGTAAATAAAGACAATTAATCGTGTTTTATTCTTCTGAAAGTCAGATAATTTTGCTTTACTGCTGTAGCTTGATAGGAAACCATCGTGGGCAATGCTTAATATAGTTAAAACTTTCCGCGAAGCACCAAAAAAGAATCCGCGAAGCAATACACAGCGAAGAAAGGATTATACCATATAATTTTGTTATTTATAGATATTGACTTCGCGGAATTTTTTTTTTTTTTTGTTTTTTTTTTTTTTTTTTTTTTGTGAATTTTTTTTTTTTTTTTTTTTTTTTTTTTTCTCTTTTTTTTAAGGGCTAAGGAAATCTTATATGTATTTTTAGATAGTTTTTTCATAATAGTTTAAAATATTAAAAAAATAAATAAGATGACTGATAATAAAATAAAATTAAATGAATGAATACCATTCTAAACTTAAACAAGAAAACAACAACATATTATTATACTTCCATAACTACTGAGACTGAGTAAATGATTCATAAAAGAACAACACGTGACCAATATAAATTTCTACATTATAAATTATCATGAGTCTTTTATTATTTTTCATTAGAAAAATAAGTTTATAAACAAATTAATTTTAAAAGCCCTTCAAATAGGTCATATAAGAATAATCTATACATCTCTTGCAATGTGAAGTGTGCTAACTTTATTAGCTGAGTTTTGCGCTTATTCACACTTAACGGAATAGTCTTTTAGTCCGCTGGACACAATTCAAATTTGGTTCAATAACAGGCCCACCACTAAATTCACTCACAAAACTTGAACAAAGTCTACTTGGTCGTAACTAGATGTTTCCAAAATAATTTTGGAAAATCCTCTTATTTTTCTTTTTTTTTTTATTAAAAAAAAAAAAAACTAATACAGGGGTTTTGTCAAGAAAATAAAGTTATTAGTATTTTATTGGCTTTTTGTGTGTTTTTTGGGTTGCATCCACCCTAGAGAGCCATCTGTTTACAAGCGTCATTTCACCGAAATCAACACAAAATTAAATATCGGTTCTGCAGAACCGGTGTAAACCGGCTGAATTAAAAACAACAACTGGATTTAGGTTATTTATTTATTTTGTTGTTTGTACGTTGTGATTTTTACTTGTTCGTCTATCAACGACTTTGACTGTTTCTACCTTCCGCATATTATTATTATTATTATTAGAAAGTATGCTGTTATTTGTGTAAATGGTGTACAGGTTTAAATAGAGAAATAATTCACCTCTACAATTCCTTCAGGGCAAGTTAAAGATAATATGAAGTAAGTTTAAGGTGGTAACAAAAAGAAAAAAATTGTATACATTTTTGTATTCCAATGCGTCGCTATATTTTCTTATAAATATTTGATGATATTCCCCTTTTTGATTCACAGACCCCGAAAGCACGTACAATCATATCCTACCAGCGGGGAATCATACAATGCCATTTGAACTTCCCGTACCCTCGGACCTTCCTTCCTCGTTTGAAGGGCACCATGGCTATGTCCGGTACTGGCTTGAGTGCATTTTGGATGTCGTGGGACACGTTGAACAAATTACAAAGAAGGCCTTCACCGTTATAAGCAAATACAACCTCAACACAGACCCGGTGGCTGATGTAGGGAATTTTCATTTATTTAAAATTTCTTGCATTTTCACTAACCCCTTTCTACCAATATTAAAAAAAAAAAATTGCCAGAATCACGCTTGATTAAACTAAATTACTAATTACCATTTTAACTTCGCACTTAGGTTAGATCATTAATTTTAACATGCTTCAAAAACCCGCCAAATAATGGTCTAATGTTGCATCTAATACACCACGGCAACATACAGTTTTGTACAACAAATAATTTGGTATTGTATGCACTCTCCACAGAAAGAGATCAAGAAAAAACAAGAGGTGTCCGTTTGCTGTGGTTGCGGGTCACCGGGATTTTACGAGATCAGATATTACGTCAGTAGGCGGGGCTATGTACCAGGAGAGAAGATGGTGATTGACATCCGTGTGAGGAACCACACCAACAGTGACTTACATCTGATACTGAGGTTTAAAATGGTAACAAGGAGATGAATAATTATATATCAAGAAAAACACATTTTGTAAATTTATAAAACTGTATTAAAATTTTAATATCCTTGTGTAGTTTTATAGTAAAATCATTTGAGGAAAATAAATTGATGAAAACAATTAAGGTAAAAGTTATATGAACATTTAAGCATAAGCATTAATTTTGACATAATAAAAGAACAATTAAATATAGAAAATGGTTCTAATCAAGTTATCGCAGTCTACACTATGTTGTTCGTGCTTTGCATGCTAAGGTGACCAATACAAGTTTGGACTTGAGTAGTAGCCTTGACTTGTGTTGTATTTTGTTTACGTGTGGGAGAGTTATTCGATTCGTCAGCCTCACTCCTCCGTCCTCACCTATTTGATCCAACGGTAAGACTTGGTCATGACGACTGGAAATAGACCAGGATGCAGCGGATGACCAGCAGCATGCCATATAATAATTCCTTAACTTTCTGTGTCCCATTTATCTCAGTCTTTGCTTCCCATTGATTTCACAGTCAACAAAGATTAATTATGTGTTCTCACACCCTATTAACCAGAGCACCAACTATCACGCCAAGGGCAAGACGATCAAGATAGACAAGCGGTTACACGAAGGGGAGAAACCCATCCCGTCAGCTGACACTTGCAAGTGGAATCCAGAAATACCGATACCGCCACTACCTCCTACAGGTCTAGGGGGTAGCAGAGTCATAGACATACGATATTGGCTGGAGGTCAAGTCCAACTCATTTTTTTAAATGTTATTTTTTAAAATAAAAAGTACTAGTAACCGGGAAAAAAAAGGGGGGGGGGTTAGTAGCACAAAAATATTAAGAAATTCGTCAAAGTAAAATACATAGGGCGTTAAAACAATGTATTTACATTCCAAGTTTTATCTATAATACATAAGAACATTCTGGAAGAGTCCCACAATCCTTATTTAAATTTTGCCATAAGATTTTTGTAAAAAACGTATCCCCGTTAAGTTGCATTATTTTCTAAGCATCAGAAACTGATCAACCAGGACCAATAATCAATCACATTTCATTTACGTGAGATTTGTGTTTTCTTGTCAGGTCGAACTTTCTTCAGAAGCGTGCTTTGTTGACCCGGTTCGATTTGCCGACGAGATCAAAATAGGAACGCTACCTCTGAGCCACATCACATCCGCCTTACCAATCACCGATCAACCCTACCACCGCACGGGGCGACACCTGCTTCCCATCGGCTATCCCATGCCCGAGGTCCGTGGCCCTCCTGCACCTTGTAAGTCGGGCATGTTTTAAACGCAGTTCTTCAAGGAAGCAACCGTTTGTAGTGTTACCATTCCACGCCTCAGTAGCGTGGCTCAGGCTTATTTAATAAAGGAATTTATATTTAAATTCGGATCGGTTGAGGTGAATAACTGATCAGACGTGGCACTGAAATGTTACATTAAGAAACGGCGTCAGCGGGACGAGTCTAGACTCTTATGCCCCCCCCCCAAATTACCCCTCCCCGGCCTGCCGTATCGGGCC